CACCCACCCAAGACTTTTCAATAAGATTTGAGCACCTGTTTCTTTAGTCTCTTATATTATCAGAAACGTTAAGATTATAAAACTTACTAACAGCATCACTGACTAAAAAGCTAGCAATAATAAAATAAGACTCTTCATAATTTTTTGTGTTAAAAGCCCAGAAGTTATTAATATAGTCCAAGATATACAACTAGGCTCCCTTTAAGCTCTTCTTACTCTCAAAAGAGATAAGTTGGCAACATTGTCATCTTTCAGTCAATGTAGGATGGTTCACATTCTGAATTGCCTTACACATATCTGTTGGCTATAGAAATGGGCTAAAGGACTGGCTGTGAGCGGGGCTGCCGTGTGAAATCATGCCAGGGTGCAACGCTCCACAGCACTGTGCTGGAATCCCATCATGCGTGCACCCTGCCCGGGCTGCTGAGCATGCCCCTGTGCTTTCTGGCACCTCCTTACTGGTTTATTCTCTCTAGAAATGCCAGTGGCATTTAAACAACTGAAGTTGCTACGTTAAATTTATGTGTGCACTCCTCTAGCTGCCATTAGGTTAAAGATCTCACTCTGTGAGATCTTCACAAAAACTGACCCATGGATTCAACCAGTTCAAGAGAGTACGAACTGTGTTGGTAAAGAGCAAATTGGAGCTGAATACATGTAAATCAAGGCTGCAAAATTAGCACTCCGTGCTATCAGGAAAACATACATTTATCCAACGGATTTAAGAGCCAGTAGAGAGCTGCTCTTCATCTATCTATTGCACATGTATGCAATGTACATCTTTAGATTCTCATGTGGATCTGCAGCTGTAAAGTGCTGATACAGTATATTCATAGTCACAGCAAAAATATTAAATAACATTAAGAACAACATTTATATTAATTCAATGCTAAATTGCAAGATTATGCTGTAATGGCAGAAAAAATGGAATAAAAGAGATTCTTACCTCCCAGGGGAGGGCCTATGAGCACAGGGCAACACTCCACAATGGTGACAAGTCCAACCGCACTGGAAAATCTGGCAGCCCCAACAAGGTCCATCAATGTCTCAAAAAGAACGCTGCTAACCATTCCAAATGCAAATCCAAAAAATACAGCATATATCACCAAGCCAGTGTAATTTGTTGCCAGAGGGCACAAGATATGACAGACACCATTGTACAAGACAGCAAAACTAAAAAAGTACTGAATCTTTGGCCGGATAAACTTGGAGTTTGCTACAAGTCCCATTGAAGGCCTAGCAAACATGTCTACAAAGGCTAAAATAGATAGCAAAAAAGCAGCAGAATATTCGTCAATTCCCTTGTGCTTGGCATAAGGAGCCAAGAATACTATTGGAGCGAAGAAACCAATAAACATAATGACATTTCCTGACAAATAGATCAGAAATCCTCTGTGTTTGAAGAGGGACAGATCTAAATACTTATTCATAGTTTGCCAAAAAGACTTCTTGTTGTTTTTGTGCAAGGTAGAATCTCCTTTGCCTTTTTCAACATCTTTTTTCACAGGAGGGACTGTTTTCGGTCCAACAGGTCTCATCAGTGACCCAGCCACACAGCAGTTCAAAAGAAGTCCTCCCAGAATGAGAAAGCTTCCTTTCCAGCCAAACGCATTAAAGAGAAATTGATTGAGAGGTGCCAATGTGCTCAGAAACACTGGACTTCCAGCCATGGCCAATCCATTAGCAATGGGACGCTTCTTATAGAAATACTTGCCAATCATGGTCAAGGCAGGCTGTAAGTTGAACGCTAAACCCAGACCTAAACAACATATAAAAGTCAGTATTACTGAAGGTCATGCACTAAAAAACATATCACACCATTTTCAGGTTATTTTTTAAGTGACCAGTATCTAATCCAGTGATTCCCAATGAAGATGGAAACCAGCTAGCATCAGAGAATGAAATACAGCTTAATTGCTGTCCATGTGTGTTAATGCCAAGACTATTCCATGGTGGCATTCTGACATTTCTCCCTGTAGCACTGCAATAAAAGCCAGACCTCCTTGTTGTGTTTCAGCAAGGACAGAGACAGGAGAATCACAGAGGAATTATGGTATCGGTGCCTTGACTCACCATTTTTATATTTACTGAGCTACAATGCAATTCTCTCTTGGCTCATTTCACTAAAGTTATTAAATGACACCACAGCTACAGTGAAAGCAGGGTGTATTTAAATGCATAAATCTCCTCATTCCTTATTTCCAGCCCTTTTTAAGATCAAGCTTGTGTACAAAAGTGGAGCTTAAAATGGCTAATTGTTTTGGAGCTTCACCACTTCATCAGGTATGGAAGTCACTTCTAAAGGTAGAAGAGTTGTAGAGGACATACATGGGAGCAGACCACCCATCCACATCAGCTGAATGTATGATCTGAACCTCTGGCCTTCTCTCTGTATTAAGACATGTAGGCAATAAGGTCTAAGCAGCTATACATCTGCTGGATGGCACAGGAGAGAAGTTTTCTTCTCTGATAGGCCCATTCCTCGACCCTGACTCTACCCTCTTTCAGTAGGCCCCTCGTTTAGGACGTAAAAAATATGAGCTTCAGGAAATAACCACTGACAAAAGAACAACAACTTTAGTTCCAAGATAAAGAAAGCTGAGCTTGAATATAGGAACAAGTATTATCTCTTTCATTTATTACCAGACAATATTTTGTCTCACTTGCCTTCTTTATTCTGAGAAGGTAGTTTAAAAAAAAAAACAAACCCACAACTTTTGATAAGGTTATTTAATTTACTGGCTTTATGATCACTGTAGTTCATTGCCTTAGGCAATATCCAGGCCTTTGATGATATATGAATAATTTTATTTGGGGACTGACCCTGGTGGACTTCAAACAGAAAGCTATTGAACTGAAAGTTGTTATACTTACCTGTGACAGCATATGTATGGGCAAACCTACAGAAAGCTGGTACGAGCTTTCACATTTTTACTAGAATTCTGCTAGCTTCTGCCACCCTGTTTGAAGTGCAACATGATTGAAATCTAAAAGAATAGATGTGAAATTCTACACAAATGACTGTAATAAGTGCTGTCAGAAGCCAATCAATTTTTATACCATAATTATAGTGCAGTGTGGAACAGTACATACATATAGCATTTATTGAATAAAATCATCAGTTGTTCCTGAAATATCCTAAGAAATAATTTAACATCATACCAGCTAATTTAAAGGATTAGATAGTTCAGGTAGCTTAAATCTTGCTACCTTCTTGGTTTGCATTTGTACAATGCCTTGCACAGTGAGTTCTTGATCAGTAAGGCTCAATGGTAGAACAGTATTAGAAATAGTATAATATGATATATATAATACAATACAATACAATATAATAATCCCTTTTAAAGAGGACTCTTACCTCCAACGACACCAATACATAGATAAAGTTCCAGGACACTATTGCAGAAAGAGGAAGCAATCATACCAAATGAACACAGGATACCTCCTGCTATCATCACAGGCCGGCTACCATACTTATTCACCAAAATGCTGCTTATTGGACCTGTTGGTAGAGAGAAAATACATTAACAGGTAACTCCATCACACATGTCTTTGTACTTAGGTTATGTTGGAATCTTCCATCCCAGAAAATGTTTAGCTGTTTCTGTACCTATTTGTCTTACAAACACACTCTGTGAGTTTGCAGACACAAGAGCCTGGATGTGGATATATTGCCTTCATGATGGTATAAATATTGATTAGTCATGGAGACGGATCAAAAGATTAAAGACATCAGGCAAGCAAGAGGGATTGTTACAGTTCACAAGCAATCAATACTGAATTGGTCAATGGAAGCTTTGAAAGTGCAAGGACTGATGAATTTCGAGTATGAGACAGATATCAAAACTCCACAGAACAGAAGGAATCTCCAGGCAAGCAACCTAATAACTGACCTTAATACTGTAGCATGTCCTGGACCCCTACTTAAAACTACACATAGACTTAAAAATATTGTCAAATCAGAATGTAAATCTCTGTCCCCTAAGGCTCGTTTTCTCTTACATCATCCAGAAAGGAGTGTTAATGGGCAGTAAGATGACTATAGGTTGTCTGGGAAAATCTAAGATGTAGTTTAGCATAAAGACCTATAAACTTTGAAAATATTGCTACAGGTCCGTTTTTCAATTTCAACTGCAATTCAGTTTATGGTGTAATTACGTCCATACTAAACAAACAGCGAGTGTGCAATTTAGCATGCCATGCATTATATGTTTTTTTAAACGACCGTGACTGGAATAGATGGTGTGCTACATATCAAGATTAAAAGGTTGTCAAAGCTCTTTAGGTAAACCTGCATACCAGCTGACTGCACTATATTTGGCCCAAACCATTATGAATAGTCTTGCTTTTGCAATAACTAAACTTATCCAATTCAAAAATAAAACCACCCATAATAAAAAGTAATAAATTTCAAACTCAAGATAAAGCAGGCATCTGGCATACAGTGGAATGCCAAGCTCTGCATCTGATTTCACTGCAAATCATTCACTGTACTGGTAACAGTTTTAAATCTCTCTTTTTATAAATATCTAAAGAAATAAATGCCAGAAACTCCATGATGTGAAAAAGCCAAATCCAACCAAATTTAAAAGTGTGTTTTCATACGAACAGTGCTATTTTAGACTCTACTATTTGAATGAACTTAAATGTATCAAACTATTATTACGGTTGTACTGTAAGTGTTAATTACTACTTGCATATCAACAACAACAGTCTTAAGCATATGCCAAATGATCAATTTTTAGCTTACTTCCTTAAGGAAATAAACTTCTACAATAGTGTTGCCCTGTGCCTGCCCATTTTGTCTAACAGCTTGTGAATCCAGAGGTCAGTTTGAAATTAACTTGAGTGAAAAAAAAAGATCTGAGTGAAGTTTAGATTTTATGGTTTGTGCATTCATTAAATAGCTTGTGTCACAAGGAGTCTAGGGCAGCATCTGTTCAAAGAAGGAGGTCTCTGTCCAGGCAGCACAGACACTGGCCAATACACTCAGCTTTGCACCAGTCAAAGCAATCTATCTTCTCGCCCAGGTAGCTGTACCGTTCAAGGCAGGTGGGGGCACAAACAGGGTGTTTATTTTGCTAGGAAGGTAAAGGATGCTCAGAGTGAAGGTATTAGGGCTCATCTTACAGACACATAAGCATAGGAGACCAGGCTCTGTTGCTCACTGAACTGCAGTTTAAGCATAACCATATATTGAAACCAAGAGACTCGAAAATCCACAGCATGGAATGGCCCACCAAATATACAATAGCCCAGAGATTTATTAAAAGAATTTAAACCACATATGAAGCACTAAGACATTTCACTGACAGCTTTTATTCTGAGATACTTAACACTTTTTTATTTCCATTTGGGGGGAACCACTGAACAGAAGAGTGACAGGGTGGGGTTTCTCCTTCGAGGCTTTATGGAAAAAGCAGTGAAACATGAAGGAAGGACAAATGACCCTCCAAACACTTCCCAAATACATCAGGCATACTCCTCCTGTCTTAAGAAACTTGTGGTCTCATAACTATACTGAAGCATAACTTCAATCACAATTTTTTTATTTATAGAGCTGTGTTTGGACAATCAGTATTTTACCTCATGTTGGAATTAGAAAGCAAGCCCTTTTGAAATATGTGAACAATACAAATATTTCCTCTGGGTCAAAAAAAAAAAAAACAAAAACCAAAAAACCCAACCCTTTTAACTTGAACTCTTTGATTAACTAAAACCAAAAAGTTTCATCCCTATACAATTAATAGTTATAATTTTGACAATAAATTAGATTTAAAGTTATTTTTTAAATTGTTACCATTGCTAAATACAATAACAGTATTTCACTTCAAAGATACCAAAATAATTATTTTAAAAACTATTTTCAAGTTATTTTTCCTGTGAGGAGATGGAAGTATTTACAAAATTGTCAATTAAAAATTTGTGCAGAATTTATTAACATTCTGACCTCTCCCCAGATTACTCCTGTAAGAAATGTTGCCTTGCTGTAGTCTTACTTAACATGTTCCTTTCCTGGTCCTTAGAAAAAAAATGTAGGAAAGAGACATCGTAGCAGGTAAATATTTGATGATACTATTTACAGATTTATTCACTACAGGCAGCACCTTGAATTGTACCCTTACATAAATACTTCAGTTATGATGTAGATAGACTTGTTTAGCAATCTGCTTCTTTTGTCATTAAACAAAGACAGCATGAAAAGCCAGGACAAGTGTGAGACCAAATGAAAAAGATGATGTAAGTCCACACAAAGCAGACTATCAAGTGTTGGAAAGAGAAGAATGCCATTAAAAAAGATCGTTGTGCAATATTGCAGTAGTGTTAGCATTTTAAATAAAACTATGGAGCAAAAAGAATTGCACAGCACTGGCAAAGTTTTCCAACCATAATCAAAGACAAAGATGAGTTCTGCTGTAATATTCATTCCAGAAGAGTATTGACTATAATAATCATATTCTTTATCCTGTTCCATCAATCTTTCCTTCCTTCTGTAGAACAGGAAAATGAGCCAGATTTTTTTTTGTTTAGGGGCTTGGGGAAGAGGTTTGTTTTTAGTGTTTGGTTGGTTGGGTTTTTTGTGGGGTGTCCAGAAATGGCAAGTTTCATAGTACAGTCCTTGTAAGGAGATCATTTTGCAAACAGTTCCTTATCAGGAACAAGAAAAATAGACCTCTGTGGATCTTAACCGTGGCAGTTAGGCCAGGACTGTAAGTTACAGCTTTTCAGATCAAAGCATGCAATGTTAGCTTCACCTACAAGACCTCTTAGCTACAAGTCAAATATGGATGTATTAATTTAGTTAGGTAGGGATGAAGACACCAGAGGAATGATAGAGCTACCTGATCAGTCTGATCTCTGTATTTTCAAATTACCTAAATCTGGAATGTATTATGAATTTAAAATTCTTTTAAGCATAATGTTCTCTGTGAGATGTTTTCCTTAAGTTAGTGATGTATATTTACCACCACAGCTCCATTTAATTTTGGGTTTTCTTTTAGTGTGTTCCAGTATTTTGATTTAAAATTTGTGCACATGGGAAATACTGTTCTGTAAGCCATAATGTTAGTTTAAGCTTACTACCTAAGTTATCTAGGAACCCTTCCAATCTGATCAGTATGTTAAACATTTTCTTGTGACATCTGTGTATATACTTGTTTTTGGAGTGTCATAAAATCATGCATATTCATACCTTAATGTACATGAATCTACATACATTCCAGCTGTTTGCCTACCATAAGATGTTTTATAGCCATGCACAGATTTCATTTCACATCTAACAGCTTCTACAGTTACTTAAGGAATGCTCACACGCCAGCATGTATCTATATTCTTCGCATATTTTCTTTAGCAGAAAGAAGATTAAGCTGTTTAAGTACTGTAACATTGCCAAAATCATGCTATACATTAATTCATGTTAACACACTAAAGGACTGCTGGATCTCTACATCTACCTTCCCAAAGCCTGAAGTAACCACATAACAGATGTTAAGTCAGGAAGCCCACAAGAATATTCACTCTGATCTCTCCCTTAACACCTACAAACCATCAGCCACAAAAGACTATATACTCCCTAAACCAAATTTAAGACCATTATCATAATGTGCTAACAGTCTCCTGGCTCTATTTTTGTTTTATAACTTTCTGTTTGAGGCAAATGACCAGGCTGTGAGAAGGAGTAAGACAGCAGCTGTAACCGGTGCCACCGAAGAACAGTTTCAGGAAGGGCTGTGCAGGAGGACAAAAATGCTTTAGAAGGCAAGAAAAAATAGCAGCTTTTCACACTCTTCATCATATGTCAAGGGAAAGATGGCAAAAAGGCATTTCAGCTACATGAACAGAGCCTGGCTGATGCATTTGGGAGCTGTTTATGATGTTTTATACAAAGCCTACAATAATGTGACACCTGCGTTCTGTTCTGATGGCTTAGCAGAACATTCACTTGCACATCTGTGTTGTGCAAAGTGTGAAGACAAAGATGCTTTCACTGGTCTTCAGTGCGTGCCAAGACCTCCCAGAAGAAATATACTGCTTACAAATTAGATAATATCCTATAGTAACAAAGGTAGCAACAATCCATACTTTCACTTCCAAATTTAACTTTTCATTGCCATTTAAATATTCCTTCTTTTGCTACGCTATATTGTTGTAAATTAAAATCAATAAAAGAAGACTACATCACTGAATAATAAGTATATTCTAAAAGCAGATGTTTGAAGAAATAATAACTTGTTTCCACTTAAAAGGTGCTCATTGTGCTAATGTGGTTTAAACATAACTCAAACATTAAATTTTATTTCTAAAGAAATGTACTGCTTGCTGTTTTTGTGGAAATTAATAGAGAGCTCAAACTATGCACTGTAAATTATAATATATAATATGTAATATGTAATATGTAATATGTGATATGTAATATGTAATACGTAATATATAAAACTAGAAACTAGAAACTAGAAACTAGAAACTAGAAACTAGAAAATATAAATTAGGGGGCCTATAGGA